GTACCAAGAGGGATTTCAAAGGCGTTTGCCTATATTTCCTTTAATAAATTTGGCTTGACTTTTGAACTTCTGAAAGACTTGTCACTCCTGACAACGTAAATCCAGTCTTTAAGCTCTACTAACGGTAACATGCTTTTGTTTCTGCTTGTGGCGTCTTAATCGGCTTAGGTCTAGCTTGACAAGGGTTCCAGTTGGCACATGATAATCTTAAGTTCATCTATTTTACAGAGCAGGCTTTTTTCATTGGTATACATGCACTTAAGTTTCATTGTACGGTGTAATCCGGTTGTGTCAGTCACGTCCTGACCATCGTTCGGAGTATTACGGGTTTATTCGATGTTTTCTTTTGAATTATCTTCCCGTTCAAGATTGCAGGCCTGCCTTGCCATTCTTGATCCTTGACTGTATATCCGCTACTAGATCTCGGCGTTTCAGCCGTTCCTCCGGAGAATAGTCCGGTTGAAAAAAAACCTCTTTATACAAATGACGTAGGTTAGTTTTTTAGACAAGATCAGTTGAACATGCTCCTTTTTTCAGAATAATTTTTAGCGGTCTGTGTTGTGGCATATCTGCAGTATCTGCCGGCCTTTTCTCGATCCAAAATGACTTCAGTACCTCGAATTCTTCACCTGACGCAAACGGATCGCTCAGAACATCATTAAAGGAAACCAGATCAAGATCGTCCTTGTCGTTTGGGTTGTCTGAAATTGTTGCTCATAATCCCTGTACAAGAAGACAGTAGTCACGATCCTGTCGGTGTCGTGAACCCTTAGATACAGTTTCCGCCACATTTGTTGCAGTGGGCCTGGACCTCTGGCTGAGTGGTGTGACTGCTTGGTCGTCGGAACTGTCCGAAGTTGCTTCTCGAGACCCCTGAACAACTAGACCATGAGCACCATCCTGTCGGGAATCGTGATGTACATTTTTGGCCACCTTCGCTGCAGGGGGCCCCAAGCTCGAACTAACAAGAGTCGATGCTCCGCCAGCATGAACTTTGCTGCTATCGATAAGGGTGTTCGCGGGGCCAGGCTCAGCAAATGTAGCGGCCTTTACTGAAGTTTTCGGCACACTCTTGTCATTTTTAATGGTTGCCTTAGTTTTAACTGATGACACAGCCGCCTCTTTTTTGTCTACATCGTCGGTGTTCAAATTTGCCTCAACTTTGTCTACATGGTCAACTATGGCGGCCTGTACTTTAGGTATATGAGCCCTCTTTCTTAGTTGGTTCATGCGTTTGCATGGAAACTGTCAGTTCTTCCATTGCAGCGATGGTCTGCTGGATGATTTCTTGCAAAGTTGCCATTCTTTCCTCAAGTTTACCATACTTAAAGGCTAGAATATAATAGCCGTCGCAACGGTTTCCTGCGTGCGTTGATCGCACCCAATAAGTAGGGTTTTTCGATCGCCGCTTACAGCGTGCGGCAATAGCACAGTGGTCAACGTCGCGGTTTTGTGTTCGGAAGGGTTTTAGGTTCAAATCACTCTCGTGGCAAATTAGCCTAAGTCGTCGCTTTGCTAATGTAAGAATACGTTAGAAGTCGAATCTCCTTAATAAAGGCAATTGGTTGTAGAATTTAGGAAGCAGAATTTTGACATACTGCTAGAAAAATATCTAAACTTGTAAACTTATTTCAGGTTTGATAAGAGCAGGCTAACAACCGAGCTAGTTTAATTCTTATCTACTAAGTCACTCCAAAACTGATATCAAAGCAGATGCGATATAATGTAAGATAGTGACTCAGCCTTTGAAGATTTTTCTCCTACTCCTTCGTGGGTACTAGTTTCTGAGAATTTTCCCAGCGACATCATTGTAGGAGTTTCGTTGGTCCATGTTCGTTAATGGAAAGTTTTGCGTTATTCTGCTTTGCTTGTTTGAAGGTAACTGAGCGAACAGATGGATTTAGACTCAGGTGGCGATTGACGAAAGGATTACAGCCGTACGATTTGTTCTATGTACAAATTTCGTAGGTATCCTGGTTTGTACGCAAATCAATGTGTGTTGTTCTTGACACACTATGTTTGTTCGTTGAAAACAACTATTTTTTCTTTTGATACGCCACTTACTTAAAAATTTCAAACCACGCGCGGGCAAGATTTTCTCCAGGTCGGCAAATTTTTTCAAGGTCATTGTCAACAGTCATCAAGTAAGCCAGCGAAGGAGCAAGAGCAGAGTCTGAAAGATACTTTGTGGTCTTGGGCAATATACACCATAATCCCTACCATACATCTGACAAAACTCCTCACAGTTTTCAACCGTGTTGCCCCCGAACTTCTAAGTGATGGACGAACGATTCTGTGAAGGAAAACCAAGAGTTCTAAAAACTGGCCAAAGAGAACTTGTTATACTCTAATATTTTCAAGCCCGTTTTTATATAAATATATACATTTTACTAAACAAACAATCTCCAAATAGTACTATTTCGCTATATTTCGAAAAAAATGTGGGATTTGGGCAGGATAGGAGTAATCCCCTGTCCGAATGATTAATGAAATTTGATTTTTCGGGCTACAAACGCGATAACGCGAGCTCGCCTGTAGCTCGTTTTTTTCGAGCTCGTTTCGAGCTTGAACTAGTGGCCAAAATTAGGTCAATTTTTCGAATAATCGAGCTCGAAACGAGCTCGTTTCGAGCTCGTTTTGCTATTAGGGCTGGAAATCCCAATTGGTTACTAATGCGAGTAATATCCGGGCCGGACATTGGTTGGCAACCTTGCGATGCATGATTGTTAGTATGTCGCAGTAGATTCAAGTTCATCAGCCGTATTGCGATAAGACATGTACAATGGTAGCTAGGCGCTCACCGATCGGTCATCGGACTCACTGTTTCCGTTGTGCCTCGGGGCTCTCTCTCTCTCTCGAGCCCCGCAAGAAAGAACGGCTGGAAACGCACCCCAATTGAGTCTTGCCTGCCGACCGGCCGAGAGCACACGCGAAGAACGCTCACGCGAGCATTACAGACGTTCTAGAAACGTACCACAGGGCCGCAGCGTGGGAAAGTACAAATTAGCATGCAGACCAGAAACCCTGTCACATGTGATAGGCCAGGATTATTCTAGACGGACCAAAGCCTTATAAATAGGCTGAAATGGACACGCAAAAACAATTTGCTGTCTCTGCATTGTCCTGAATAGAGACCCTTGGCGCGGCTTTCGAATTTGAGCCACCCATTTTTTTGTTGCTCTCCATTCACGG